GAATCGGAGCTCCCTGGATTAATTGAGGGTCAGTACTACGAAAGGCTGACATTTAATGATGCCATTTATCAGACAGACCTTTAGAAAATGGACAGCATATGAACTTAACAGTATCTTTTCCAGTTAATATACAACAAGGAAAGACTGGTATGTTATCTCTCTTTAGCCTGGATCATCTGTTTTTCCTGAGTGGGATAGAGGACTTGAAATGAATGTTGGTTAAATGTGGCATTTTCTCACACAATAGGAAAGCTATGTTGAAGGGTGTTTTTAGAATTGGTGGTCAGTCATATAATGGGATATTCAAATGAGATAATTTAAATATATGTGTACATATATGCTTATAATATAAATGCATATTTGAGACTTTTAAAATCTATTTAACAGTTTGAAGTACTGTGATATTTTTCCCTCTTTCATAGGCAAACAAGTGACTATTGTGTCTTAAAACTCTGCTTTTGAAACATCAAAGATGGATTATCCCAAAATGGATTATTTTCTGGATGTCGAGCCTGCTCACAGATTCTTGGATGTTGAGTCGGCTCACAGACTCTTGGATGTCGAGTCGGCTCAAAGATTCTTCTACAGTCAAGGAGCTCAAGGTAATACATAAAATGGGAGAAAGGGAGGAAAGCATAAGTTTGAAAGGCATCCGGGATGCTTCCGCCTCCACCCCTCTGAGATGGCTGAGTTTGCAGGCACTGCACTTGCGGGGATCTAGGGCACCCTGGCCTATCTGACTGAAATCCAGCTGCAGTAGAGGCTCCTGAGCTAAGCCTCCAGCTTTGCAGCTGCCTTGTCTACTTTAGATGAATCCAGCCACTGCCTCGAGGAATCACCAGTGCACTTGGGGCAGTAGGGAACACACCCGTTGTGAAGTGCCACTGATGTGTACATTTTTATTACGTGCTTCAAGATGGTCGGTTAGGCTCCAGTTTACTCGCTCTCCTGTTCAAGGGTGCAGTTAGAATGTTTTTCCACCACATTTCATATTTTCTTTTTTCCACGGAATCGTTAGGGTGTTCACTCAAAGCAACCTGATGATGGGCAGATCCCAAATGGTACAACAGAAGCTCTAAGGAGAAGGGCAATGCCTGTATTCTTAATAGGAACGTGGTTGAATTCTTGGAAGTCACAAGGCAGAGCTGAGAGGGAAATGCTGCTTTGATAATGCTGGCTTGTTTCACACGTAGGTTGTGAAGTACTTCACACGGAGCACTGATAATAGTCTGCCTTGGCTTTCCCAGTGCTGTCTTCTAAATTGATTTTACCTCGCTCTCGAGCCAATTGCTCATGGCAGCCTTGAGGGCTTGCAAGATTCTCCCTTCTCTGTTTTCATTTTTCTGGGCATGACCCAGTCTTCTTAAAGTCAAGAGGGCTTGGAATTTATCTGGTTTATCTGTTTGTGTCAGTGCACCCATCACAGCCTAAATTCACAGAAGCGATCTAATAGCTAGCTCTGTTCATTCCTCTGTGTAGGTAATTAGCACTGCTACTCTCCACCCCTTAAAAAGACATGAGGATGTTACTGAGGTAGGAAAAGGGTAAGAGACTGGCCAGGACCTTCAGCCTCCTCTGGGTCTGCAAGTCAGAAGATGCTAGAAGAGATGGAGAATGGAAGACTAAAGGGAAAGGGGGCTGGGGCAGGGCTCAATGCCACCTCCAGACCCGGTGTAAACGTTGCTGGGTCTGGTCCATTCAGTGTGCATGAGAGAATAATGTTCGGTGGTGGAGTGACCCACCTGAGCTGCATGACTGTTGGCAGGACAAGAGAAGGAGAGTGGCAGTTAATTGACAATAATAAACGTGTCCACTTTGCCTTGCAGTTTAAGGATTTAAGGAGACTAAGCTGTGGATTTTTACGGAAGGAAAAAAGGCAGGATGTGGGAGTCTCAGAGGATCTTCAGGCAGCCTGGTGGCTGTTGGCAGATGGAGCTGGGGGTGGAGTGGTCAGAATTGTCACCATCAGTGACTGGTTTAGCACTAGAGTTGGAATGACTAGAAGATGTATGGGAAGTGGTAGCATAAGCTACTGCTGCTTTCAGATATCACATTCATTTTAGGGGAATCAGAATGATGTTTCAAGCAAAGAAGTTTGGACTTGTAGTAAGGGTGGAGGTTCCCTAAACATCATCTAGGTCTATTTCCAAAAATCCCGGACTTCCTGAGTCAGAAATCTAGGTGTAAAACTTAGGAGTTTGAATTTGAAGCAAGAGCTCCGATGATGATGACCAGGGCAGCACATTTAAGAAGCAATCCATCCAGTCTGTCTTCTCTCTTTTCACCCAGACAGGACCACCCTCCTGTCTTAGCGGCAGGGTAATGCCGTGGCCCAGGGTAACAGCTGGGACCCTGACAGCCCAGGTTCAAATCTTGGGTCTGCCACGGTGAAGCGGGGCCAAGTAACCACCTCTGCAAATAACAGTGCCTAGTTTTTAAGTTCTTAAGTGTATCAATGAGGTAAGATTGTAAAGTGCTTAAAACAGTTTTTGCAACACAGGGAATGTTATACGTAAGTGAATCAATAAAAGAAATATCTCTGGCAAAAGGCCATCTCTGCCCTGTTTGAAATGTCACAAGGAAGCCACCACCTTTCAAACAAATCTGGCAGGAGTTTCACTTCCTATTTTGAGTTAAGTTTTTTAAGTAAATGCTAAAACACACTGATCATTTTCTTGCCTCATCAAAACATAACTTAGAGAAAAACTGAAAAATGGTAACTTTCTGGCTTGGTACTCGCCATCTACCTAGCCCTTCTTTCCCTTGAAAGAGCCCCTTTTCCTTCTAACACCTCATCCAGAGCCTTGCCACCTAGGACTGGGCAGCCTCAGAGTCTCTGTCCTGGGCCCCTGTGGCCTCTATAATGCAGCTGGTCACCGCACTGCTCCAGCCGCTCTACACCGGCTTCCTTCCACTCCGCACAGGTTCCACGGTCTTTCCTGGATAACAAGCCCCTTGGCCTGATGAATGGCTCCAAGTGATGGGCAGAGGCCTGGGGGCCGTGGCTTGTACCCCTGCCTTTCTGACCCAAATGTCCATGCTTTAGAGTGATGGCTAACGCCCACCTCTTACCCCTGGCAAGGCTCTGAGGACCAGTGGAAGTGGGACAGCATGGTGGCTGGCTCTTGAGAAAGGCATTTGAGGCCATTCGGGCCTTGTGCTGCTGCTGAATCACAGCGTGTGGTGCTCTCTCCTTGGTCAGCCCCACCCAGGAACAGAGGGACAACCGTAGGCCAAGTAGCCTCATTGCGGGAGACGTAGGATGTGATCAGCTAAACTAGAGTGTGATTATTACCTTTTGAGTTGTCTACTCTAGAGCTCATGCAAATATTTCTACAGATTAATCAAGTGTTCTTATAAATACAAATACTTCTAAAGGTGGAAGCAAGAAAATATGAGTTTCACTTCCTATATTACCATTCTTGTACCAATTTATTTACAAATTGATAAACTTCTTGGAAACCAACTGCTTCTTTATTAACTACGTGCAAAACGGTTATCCAAAGCAACAGTACCAGAATTGTGATGTTTTAGTTTATAGTTTTTCAATTATTCTTGTAAAGTGGTAAGTGCTGTCCCTAAGAAGAGGCTGTTTCTAGCTAGTAAGAGCAAGAAGAATCCAGGAAGGTGAGAAGAGAAAAGAAGGAAAAAGCTATTCATTCTCTCATGGGACAGATCCTCTTGGATGTCCTAGAGATTTTCAAGTCAGTCATCTGTGCTGCTGAGTAGCACAGCTTGTTATTGTCTCCCACCTTCACTTTTCCTTGGTTTGACCCTGAGGCCGGGGGGATGAGCCCAGGTCTCCAGGGATTCTGCTTTGAAGCATGCTATGTCTCAGAGACAAAAAACGCCTAGATCACTTGTGCATCCTTCGGTGAAGGATTAATCTGTGGGTGTTGTGTCCACAGTAAATCCTGCTCACACAGAGGGGGTTCTTTGAATGCCCCCATTAACTCTAGAGGAGATGCTGGAGGTGGAAGAGATACAGGGCATAAAGATCAGCCATATGTTGACATCGCATCAGCTGAGCTCACCCATCTGTCAGGTTCTGACAATGATATCTCACATACTCAGCTTCAGGCTCTAATTTATTTTACTGAACTGGGAAGGGAGTCATATTATAAAATCACAAAATTAGCATCGGGATTTTCAGGATGAAATAGGACATTTTGGATCAGTGATTCTCTTGGCCCCTCCCTAAACTAAGTGAAATAAATCTGTGAGGGCTGGGCCCAGGTCCCAGTGCTGCGTTTTCAGCAAGCTCTGGGTTATCTTGATGAGCACTGACCGTTGAGAACCACTGTTGTGGATCATTAATCACTTCCTACACAGAGTGCCGTCCCAGGCTAGCAGCAACATCTTCACCTGCCAGCTGGTTATAAATGCAGAATCTTGGGCCCCACCCCAGACCTAGAGAAGCATTATCTGCATCTTAACAAGATTGCCAGGTTATTTATGTTAAGTTGGAGAGGCAAAGATAGAATCCAGTGCACATTAGCAAGAGCTGGCAAGCTTTTATGAACTCGAGGCTGGAGTCCCACAGCAGACCAATCGACTCAGTCTTTGGAGGAGAGCCCCGAACCTGAGAATGTTTTTAATTGTCCTCGGTGATTCAAATGTCCAAACTGGGTTGAGAACTGCTGACCTCCCATTTTACGGAAAAGAACGTTTTAGCACAGTGGTTCTCAACCTTCCTAGTGCCACGACCCTTTAATACAGTTCCTCATGTTGTGGTGACCCCCAATTTCACTGTTACAAATTGAACATAATTAAAGCGTAGTGATTAATCACAAAAACAATATGTAATTATATGTGTGTTTTCCAATGGTCTTAGGTGACCCCTGTGAGAGGGTCGTTTGACCCCCAAAGGGGTCGCGACCCACAGGTTGAGAACCATTGTTTTAGCATATCATGCAGATATTCTTACCTGAGTATCTTTATCTTCCAGTTCTTTCCTTTTAAATGAATCCAAACCATTGGAAAGGTTCAAATTGAGGGTGTTTTTTTGTTTTGTGTGTGTGTGTGTGTGTGTGTGTGTGTGTGTGTGTTTAAAGGATTGGACTATATATCTGTGCTGTACTATTTATTGTATCCATTAATCCAGAAAGAAATTTTGGGAAAGAGGAATTATGGTGCTCATTTTGCAGTTTAGAAAAGACTACACATGTAAAGAGAAGCAGAGCCAGGATTTGAATTCAAGTACAGTATATCCGATTCCAACAACCCCACAGGAAATGAAGGTAACATTCATGACTGAATTACAGGACTGGAGATGCTGAAGTTCAGAGTGGTTCGGCCACATGCCCAAATCACACAGCATATAATGAGAAGGTGAAAACTAGAACCAGATCTCTTCTCACCACACACATCTCTGCCCTTCCCACAGTGCTAGGTTTCTCTGTTAAAAGGCCATCAAAACCCTTAGACATTTACTTTACCTTCAAAAAGGAAAACATATTAAAAGAGAGCAAATTGACTGAAGTCACGAGGCAATCAAATTTATGACTCCTCTCACAATTCCCCCTCTTTTATCATTTTAAATAATTTTAAATAATTCTTGGCATTAGAACCAGGTGCTATAGTCATTGTGACTTCATCAAAA